AATTGATAGAGGAAATGACACCGAATATTTTGGTATAATATTGAGTCAGACTGGATGGGGGGAGAAGGGGGAAAGTCATTACAAGATGAGAACCTCTTTCGAAAGAGACTTAGCCTGGAATTTGAATTTTTTCTCTGATCTGACAGGTCTGCGAAGGATAAATTTTCTCTAGTTTTGTATAGAAGGATGTGTAGATTCAAAATATGTAAAATTTTTAAACCTTAGACCACTGAGTCTACTAAAAGAACCTATTTTTCTCATAGGTTACTACTTTTCAGGTATTTTTTTGGAGGATACAGTTTTCTGGAAAAGAGTGCACTTGAAGTAAAAAATTCTACACCATTCGATAGCCCGTCAATTAAACTATACGGGACACTATTTGAATTTTGGAAAAGTGTACTTTCGATTTTTGGCTAAATGTGATCGTGATTCATTTGCACGGATGATATTTCGAGTAATCAGAGTCGCATTTATATATGCTGTATTGATTGACAATTTAGATATTAATACTGACTGATTTCAGTTGATTTTCCTGACCATTAACAAAAAATGTTTTCAGCAACGGACGCTTGTTGATACGTTAACATTTATAATAGATTTTGATATTTGAACTCAATCTATTTGGACTGAATAAAATTTGTTTAAAAATCGCGGAATCGGTGATTCAATCTTCAGAGACGATCATCCATCTTCATACTAATCGTTGCCCTAACGCTTCATTAGAGAAAAGACAAAGTTTTCATTGTCACAATTCTATTGATAATATGATAAGGGAATCATACTTAACTTTAATTTCGTTTTCCTGGTAGAATTTTATTTTATTTTATAAATTTATTCACAACTGCTAAACGTTTCGAAGTCTAAACCGACTCCTTCGGACAAAAATGTTAAAAAAGAACAAGAAGAAGCATTGAAAAGTCTAAAAGTCGACGATAGTATTTTGGTAATATCAGCAGATAAGGGTGGTAAAATTGTAGCTATGAATACGTTAGATTATAAAGCTAAGATAGAAGAAAAGTTAAGTAATAATAATATATATACAAAATCAAGACATTTAATAGAAGATATTTATAAAACTAAAGTAGTCAGTCCAAAAATGAGTTTAGTTAGTTCAGACGTAGTTGATTTATTTACATCGATAGATCGAGATGACGCGATAAGAATTTTATCGGAAAAATTAAAACAAGATAAAAGTTGGAAAGCAGATACAACTTTAAATCAAGATACCATCATCAACAAGGTACTGCTTCGTTCTATCATGATTTTTAGCTACTCTGCTTCGTTCTTCATGATTTCTCGTTTAAAAAAGTTGGATAAAACTCATGCATTGGATAGTGATGTTAGTGAATGAACGAAAAGCCAGACGTTTGAGTCAGTTTATAAATTTAAAGAAAGTCAAGAATGCAAGTATTTCACTGATAAAAACAAGCTGCATTATTCAATTGAAACACACAGAAGGAAATGGTAGAAGGTGCACACAATAGTGAGCACATAAGAATAATTATCTCTCTATAACTAAAACTGTTGCATCCTGTGACAATGATGATTAAATGTTGGCTATAACGAAGAGTAAATATGTTCAATCAAAACAGACGGTATTTTGATTAAACAGATCATAATGTTTACTCATTTTCATCTGAAGCTATTTTATCATTCTTTTTTCGATTAAATTTTTTGACTAAAAACGGATTTACTATGATGTATATTAATTAGTAAGTGATGTAGAAAATTTTTTTCAAATTTCGTATTTCTTTTTATGTATGTGTGTGTATCTATCGTTTTTTTTCTTTCATTTTTTTTATACGATATATTGACGTTCAATTTAATAAATGTTAAGCATATAATGTACGAGCAGATCTCGTATGTGTTGATACACATGAATTTGTCTATAGTTAATTGATTTATCAATGAAGATCATTCGATGTGTTAGTTAGTCTAAAATTACATCTAGACGTGTTATCCTATAGTTTCAGGTTTTTGGAGCTATACCTATTAGATATATGCCCTAGTGGAACTTCTTGAATCAAAATCTTGACTTTTTGAATTTTTTAGTAAGATCTTTGCCTCAAGATCTTGGTAAGAAAACGTAAGAAGGTAAAGAAATTTCAAGAACTCAAAATCTTGAACTTCTTGACTTCTTTTACCAAAATTTTGTACCAAGATCTTGGAAGTTCTTGAATAATCGTTTTATTTTTGTACTCTTCTGTAAATATAAGTGGGAATATTTTCACACGTAGAATAACTTTGAATTTTTTTCCTTCTTGAACATAATTGTTTAAGGAAAAGCCTAAGTTGTCGGACTGCGACACACCGAAAATAGAAAAATATTTGCTTTGATCCAAAAACAGATTCCATAAGAATTTCGAAAACATCAGAAGAGTCACCGGAAAATTCTGCATCTCACATATTTTTCAAAATTTTTCCGTCAAGTCTTCTAGGAAGGTTTTTCTGTGCAATAAACTGATAAATCTAAAACAACCTAACTTTTGAACCTATTTTTCACAGACTTTAGCTTTTTGCCTATGAAAGCAGTAAGACGTACGGAATCGAGAGTTTTAGTCTTATTATCTTACACAGAATTCAATTCTGCATTATTTAATATATAAATAAAGTTTCTCAATTGAAACCATTAATTAAGAAAATTAATTTAATTAGAGAAAATTGAAAAGCTGGTTGAGAACTAATTATAAGCCCAGTTGACGTAGCGAACACATTGTATGAAATTGTAAATGAATAAGATCGATAGAGCACAAAATTCTCTATCCTTCTACCTAGAAAAATTAACTATTGAAACTCAGACAAAGGACTAAAAATCTCAAAAAAGGAGGCCAAAAAAGCACGTCGCAGTGCGACAACTCAGCACCATTCAATAAACTGTTATCAGAGATTGAAATAGCAGGTTTTGTAGAGAATTCAATTCTCTACCGATTGTGCTTAAAGCGAACTCTTTGAACTACTGAACAGTGCCTCAAAAACAACGAACAGTGTCCCATTTTATCTTGGCCAGTGAAAGAGTTAAGATCTTGCAATATTTTAAGTAGATACGATCAAGATCTTGAAATTTCTGTTCCGAAGATCTTGAATGAAAGATTCAAGCATCCAAGATCTTGACTTCGGTGTTTTTTCCGAAATTTTGTGACATTCGTAACCCAAGATCTTGAGTACAAGAAGTTTTTTACTAGGGTGTTGTTTAAAATGCAGCAAAACGTAATATACAAAGATAATCTTATACAGAAAACAAAGTAGAACCAAATACTACATAGAATGAGAATATCAGCTATACTTTTGTAGGTTTCTAAAATAATAAATTTGTTTGATACTGTTTGTTATATGTATAAAAGTGTTGTCATTTATTTCATTCTGCTTCATTTTCAATGTCTCTGCACAGATCAAATTATAATAACGGATTAGCTAACGAATATTTTTATTATTTTTGTTGAACAAATGAATTGTTCTACAATCTATTTTATAGTTTAATATTGATAGAATAGTATTAATCACTTTAGAGAATATGATAAGATTTAAAATATTTTTCTGAACGTTATTTTAATATAAACATTTTTTAAATGATTTATGCTAAGTAACAACAACAAAATGTATACAATTTTTATTTCCTAATGTGCTCACATTGATTCTAATCTTTTATGCTGAGCTACTCCTACAAACAATCATCATTATTATACTATGGACATACACACTCACATACAAACTTGATTATTCATTTGTCCGAATTTTTGTTCGATCGGAAGAATTTCTTCTTCTTCTTTTCCTCTCTTTATCATATTAACTCTGCGTCTTTGAATGAACGTAGGTATATCGATACTTCTCTCTCTCTCTCACTCTCTTCCTTCTTTATTACAAAAATAGAAATATATATCTGTTACTTATTTACTCACAAGATGGGTGGACAAACAAATGATACAAATATCTTTAATCGTACAATGTATTACGGAAAACGACATCCTGTGTGACTTTTCTCTCTTTCTCTCTATTGCTGTGCTCATCATATGTAAAACAATAAAGAGAAATCTTTTCATTAAACAAAAAACGAAAAGATACATCTTAAATGAGATATGACGCGAAAAACGTTTTTCTTTTCGTTTTTTTTTCTATTAGCTTCTGTATGACACACAATAAAAATAGAAGAATTAGTTCATCTCGTGTATTGTTACTAAAATATAATATAAGTTAATCAAACTAAAGGCTCAGCCATAGCCATACAAGGAAAAAACAAAGCAAAAGACCTTTTTCTAGATCAAATTGATTTCCTGTGACCGAGAAAAAAAAATGAATTTGAGAAATAAGTAAAAAAAAATAAATTATAGTCATTTATTAATTAATCATTTATTAATTAATTAATTGTTAATTTATTCAACGAATGATCTGACTTGTTAAGTTATACTGAAGTAAGTGAACATTCAGATATAAATTAGAAGGCCATGTAGAATTTATTTTATTTCTAAAAAGTTTAAATAATAACAAACCTTGATTTTAAACTTTTAATTATAACCAATTGTTTAAAGTTCTAAAAGAGATCTAATAGAATCTCAAAATTGTGAAATATCGTTAGTTACAGCTTTGAGAGAAAAATGTTAAGATTTTCTACTATACTTTTAAAAAAAAAGATGTTCTTCAGTTTTTCAAAGAACTGAAAAATCAATGGGAATTTTGTTCTTCATTTATCCCAGAGAATTCAATTCTGTTCTTTAGCTCTTAAGAACTCAAAATTTGTTTTTCAATTTTTAAAAAAAACTGATTTTTTTCGTTCCTTGAAAATTGAAAAACAAATTTTGAGTTCTTAAGAGCTAAAGAACAGAATTGAATTCTCTGGGATAAATGAAGAACAAAATTCCCATTGATTTTTCAGTTCTTTGAAAAACTGAAGAACACCTTTTTCTTTTTAGAGTGTAGTCTAGATTTTCTACGGGTTGGTGATAGATAAATTGTTCATTTTTCCTGTTTAAGATGTTAGTTGTTTGTGCATATAATAAAAATATATAATGGTTCTTAAAATTGGTTCCGGTGATATTGACGATTTATCTACGTTAAATGTACTCGATACAGAAAGTTTATTGCGAGAACTTCGTGCTCGATATAAAAAAGGAACAATTTATGTAAGAAAAATTATAATTTATAAAGTAATGAGAAAATTTTGATTATATTTTATTTATCTAGACGTATATTGGAGATGTTCTAATTGCTATAAATCCCTTTAAGCAATTAAATATTTATGAAAAACAAGTAAGTTTATTCTTCTATATTCAACTTTATTCGAGTTAATTTCAAAATAATATAGCTTTATCAAAGTAATTGAGATCTAGTTATTCGGTATTAACTAATTATTATTTTCTTAGAAATGAACAATCAATTTGTTCTCATCTTCATCATCAATTTTTTATTATTATTACATAGATGGTTTTAGCTGTGGAATTTGTCTTACTGAACAAAATCCTAATCTAATCATACTAAGACATGAGCTTTCAATAGAATTATTTCCAAAATCTGTTAGTAGAGAGTAATGTGGTAATAATCATGCGTTTAATTATTTTAGCAACATGATTTGTACAAATATGTCAAATGTCGTAGTCAATTAAGTCCACATATATTTTGGGTTGCTGATCAAGCATATCGTAAATTATGTTTATCAAATCGGCCACAATGTATAGCTGTTTCGGGAGAATCGGGAAGTGGTAGGTTATTTTCACATCTCAATTAAAGTTTTTTGTACTTAAATTTGATTTTTTTAAGGAAAAACCGAATCAACAAAATTAATGGTTTCCCATATAATTCAAGAATGTTCAAGTGATGCCGGTGATCGAGAATTGCAAAAACGTATTATCGAGGTAATCATTTTTACATTATGTGCTTCTATTTTGTATTATATGACTGCGTCATTCGATAGGTAAATCCTCTGCTCGAAGCATTTGGAAATGCTCAAACATGTATGAATAATAATTCGTCACGATTTGGCAAATATTTACAACTTAGTTTTACCGATGATGGACGGATTGTTGGAGGTAATTGAAGATATTTTTAAATAAATAATATGTGTAAAGATCAGTTTTTTTTTTATTTTGTTTATCTATAGCAAAAGTGTTTGATTATTTATTGGAAAAATCGCGTGTTGTTCAACATGGACCCGGTGAAAGAAACTATCACATTTTTTATTATATGTTTGCTGGTTTAGAAAAAGAATCATTAGAATATTATTATTTAGATAATCCAGAACATTATAGGTTTGTCTAATTCTTAGTCATAGATTGATTAATAATATTCTGTTCTAAAAAATTATTAATTTCAGAATATTGAAAGATCCATGTGGTGGAAAAGTATTTCCAAGTCGAACAGATTATAGACATTGTCGACAAAGTTTTCATACACAAAAGGATATTATGAGGCGTGTTGGATTTACAAATGAAGTAAAAATAATTTGATTAGATTTTAAAGAGATAAACAGATTCACTCAACATAAAATATCTTAGATATTTATTTATTCTTATAATTCTTTTTTATACTTTTAGGATACAAATATTGTGTTTACACTGTTGTCAGCCATACTACATCTTACAAATATTCGATTTTCTCATGATGATGAAACAGATGGAGTATTTATTGAAGATGAATATCCACTTGAAGTTGGTTCGTATAAGTCTCATAATTTAATCACTCTGATTCAAAACAAATTCTTTCTGTTTTCTAGTCTGTACTCTATTGGCACTCGATCAAGAAATTCTTACCATGGCATTAATTTCAACATTCAGCACAACTAAAGGTATGATTAGATAGACTATTTTATTTAGTAGAAAATCTTTATCATCAATCTGACATATTTACTCCGATTAAAAATTTAACAACAACGAGAGATTTTCTCACTTTTTATAATATTTATTTTTCTTCAATTGTAGGTGAACGCGTGATTAGTTTAAAAAATTTTGATCAAGCTAATGATTGTCGTGATGCGTTGGCCAAAGCAATGTATGAAAGATTATTTGATTGGATTGTAAAACAAATTAACGATCTATTACAACCTAATAAACAGCACAAGTAAGTATTAGAATGAATATGAATTTTTCTACATTATGATACTAGTTTTTGATTATTTTTAAGATATTTTGTCGATGAAGTACTTCATACGACCATTGGTATATTGGATATGTCGGGTTTTGAAAATTTTCAAGTTAATAGTTTTGAACAATTATGCATTAACGTAGCAAATGAACATCTACAGTATTACTTCAATGAGCACATATTTTTACATGAAGAAATAGATTATAAATTAGAGGGTGTACCATTTGAAAAAGTGGAATTTCAAAATAATGAAGATCTTATTGAATTGTTTATGGGTGTACGTATATGTGAACAAAATAGATCAGTTGTTTGCTAATTTTTATTTTCCTTTAGCCATTAGGTATATTTGCATTATTAGACGAAGAGTCACGTTTTCCGAAAGCAAATGATGAATCATTGGTACAGAAATTTCATATACATTGTAAAACTCATAAACGTTACATAAGACCAAGAGGAAATGAAACAGCATTTGGAATTCATCATTACGCTGGCAAAGTAAGCATAAGACAACCTGAGGTATAGTTCCTGGTGCTAATTAGTGCGCTAAATTCTACTAAATGTAGGTTGTATACGATGCTCGAGGTTTTTTGGAGAAAAATCGAGATAATTTGAGCGCTAATTTGATTGAATGTATGGAAAAAAGTGGAATAGAATTGATAAGTGATTTATTTTCAAATGATAAACAATCATCAAGTCCATCGTCAAAGTAAGTTGACTTTCCTATGTTATATTATCTCATACTTCTAATGTTGTATTTTAATTGTTAAAGTTCGTCATCCAATGTTAAAAATAAGTCTGCATCAATGCATCCAGTTAGACGACCAAAATCTTTTGAAATTGAACGTGTTAAAGAAAACTTTAGTCAGAAAACAGCAAAGTCATTAAGACAAGAATCGTAAATTTAGACAGTATTAGAATAATATTCTGTATCTTTTATCATTTTTTTTTTTCTTCAATAGAAGACCATTTAAAACAAATACAATTCAAAAAGAAAGATTTAGTCAAAATACTGTTGCTTTACATTTCAAGGTAAGACGAATATGAAAATATGAAGGTTGATGAAATCAAACAAACTATTATATTTTTGTATAGACTTCTCTGGCTGAATTATTGGAAAAAATGAAAGATGCAGAACCATCATTTGTACGGTAAGTCCTATCAATTTTCTTTTTTGCTCTAGAGAGGTCGTTTCTAAATTTATGTAAAATTAGTTCAGTGTTGTGGGCTAAATTTAATAATGTATTGTATTCTTCTTGTTTTCGAGACTAAAAAAATTTGAACAATTATAGACAAGCGTATTCTTTTATAATGAAAGAGACAGCCAAATGTAAATAGCAAATTCTGATTAACACAATATGAATGAAAAGAAGAAAAAAAATCAGATCTTTTATCATCAACGTGTTGAACTGAATTGTGTGAATGACAACTTTTGTTACTTAACATTCCGTTCTAAATTTTTTGGGCCGTCAAACCTTCAAACCTTAGAATAACTGTATTTCGTGACAAAAAATAAAAGAGCAAGAAGATTCATTCTTTTCTCACTCACAATTATTTCATACAGTTTAGCGTTGTCACATAAGAACAAAAAAAAAAGAAAAGAAAAAATACGAACGAAAAGTAAACAAACGGTGGTGTAAACGAAAAATTAGACAAACTTCATCTGTGATCTCCCTTTCTATATGAAGAAAATGAATAGTATACTTTAGCAAAGAAGGACATCTTTTTATCTATTTTTAAAAAAACAAAACACCTTTCTTATTTGACATTAAAAGAAAGAGAGACATACACACATCTAAGGTTTTCCTAAAAATCGACCATTAGAACGATTTCCTGTTGAAAAAGTAAGAAATAATATTTATCACTACATATTTTCGTATTTTTTTGACATTTTTTAAAGTTTGTAAGTGTTGTTTAAGTTGAAATAACTATCTGAGGCATTAGAAAATACGAATTACGAAGTCTACGATAAATTTAACTTACGTAATTGTCTGTTGTTTACTATTTAAATCTACATCAATAGCTAAAAAAGTATTTGTCTGAATCATATATTACCTCATAGTTTGAAAATGACAGTAAATCTATGTGTGTGTGTGTGTATGCAAATGTAAGCCTTGTTTTAGCTCAATATAAAGGACGTTGAATTAATTCTAAGACTTTTAAATATTAATACCTCAGTGCAAAGAGTGCATCATGGGAGAAGAGCCGAATACATCCCTAGAGATATGATTTTATAAAAATCTTATAACAATCTCATAAGATTCTTACAAGAACTTATAAGATTTCTTACTTATAAGTCAGCACAAGTCGATAAAATTCTTTTTACAATCTGATAAGATTTCTATAAAATTCGTTTGAGAATCTTGCAGAATTCTTATATAATCGATCTGACATGTAGGGACTGTGACTGCACTAGGATTCTCATTGGCATGTTGTTTGTACTTCTTTTCTTCGCTACAAATTAGAGAAAAGAAAAGTCCGTGTGTTTTTACATCCTTTTCTCTGAATTAGGTATGCATCAGTTAAAAACTGGTGTTAGGGCATACAGAAAAACTGTTGTAATCTGGTTATGAACAATCGCTAAGAGTTGTGGAATGTCTCGTTTTGTAAAAAAAAACTGCTTGCTTTATAAACTTCAGTTATCAAAGAAATTTAAATGTGTTTCTAAGAAGAACATGATCATTTTAAGATGTAGTAAATCATAGGAAAAAAACTTCGAACAGTTTTTTTTCACGATTTAATGCATTTTAGAGTGTTCACATTTCTGGCGACTTCGAAACTTTTTTAAGGCTTCGACATTATAGATCAAACATTTCCCTACAAAACGAGATACTCCACAACTCTTAGCGATTCTTCATAACTAGATTATAGCAGTTTTTCTGTATGCCATAAAACCAGTCTTTTACTGGTGCATACCTGCTCTGAATCACATACAAAAGTCCGCTACGTCATTCAGTAAAGTCCGTGAAACATGCAACGTGGACGTTGTCATTCAGCTCCCTAAAAGTATGGGGTAAAGTGCTTGAAAAATCAGGAAGTTGATTGACAACTTTAATGTTGAAAATAGGGATCCTAGATCTTCTGATTTTTGGAACTTTTTCTGCCTCGCTTCTGCTCTAAAGTCTACTGATTTTCTACTTCTTTTTCTGCGTTTTGCGTGATTTTGAACTTTTATTTTGTGATTTTCTTGTTTTGGATTTGTTATCCCTGGTTGAAAAGCTTATTGGATGTTTCACAGATTTTACTGAATGACGGTGCGGACTTTTGTATGTGATTCAGAGAAAAGGATGTAAAAGCTCACGAACTTTCCTTTTTCAAATTTAGAGTGATTTATTGTTAGTTAAAAGACACGAAACAAAAAAATTACGCCAGTAAAACCAAAAGATATGTTAGCATTTATCATTGAATGAATGAATGAATTTATTTTGTAAAGAACACATGGAAATTAGAACGCTAGAGCTTGTTTAAATGCAACGCCAGATAACGTAAAAGCTCACACTCACACACAGCAAAAATGTAGACAGTGAAAAGATGTTATTTTGATACAGTTGTAAATGTTCTTGGCGTATTCTGATGACCAACTTACTCTTGCGTCATCGAAATACGTTGTGTTGAGGTTTGCATTGACACTATATCGAGAAAGAATAAAGGCGCCCAGTTCCATAAGTAGAATTCCTCTTAAAATTACTGTGTTCATTCTCACAAACCCATGATCCTACGTATTATAGCTTGTGGCGTTAATAAACGTGCCATAGATGACACTACAGTAGCATAGTTTAGTGGAACGATCAGTCAAGATAAACTAAAATAAAAACAACGCTAACAGTGTCAACGTACGTTCGTAATTAAAAATAAAAGTATTTGTTTTATTTTCATGTAAACTTATCTTAATCTAGTAGATCAATGTATGCCGTAATTACATAGTATACATGGTATATATAGGTCACGCATAAGTTGCGAAGTTGACAGATCCGTCTCCATCTGGGCCTGCCAGAAGCGGTCCGGTCCGTAGGCAGTAGGTTGCCACTACCTCACTTTCGCTGTTATTCTTGGTTTCATCTGCAGGACTGAAAAGTCAAGAAACTAGCATCAGTTCAGATCTATAAGACTGAATATTGATGGACTAGTGAGAAAGAAAACAGAGAGAGAGAGAGAGAGAATTATATCTTTTTTGAAGAACAAATGGCGCCAGACAGCAAGCTGTTAATGAATATATAAAAAATTTCTAAGACCAAAGTCAATTTTCTTCCACTTTCGAACCTTGTGGCGCCGGATCCGAAGCGAATTTTGGGGAAAGAACGCTCATGGTCAATCTTCGGTACTTGTAGAACGATTTTGTGTTTTCAGAACTTTTCTACATTGTGTAGTTCTTGAGGTCATGCAGAGCACATTTCACAAAAAAAGATAGCTAAACAAAATAATAATATAAAAACAAAAATCCCTGCAAAAACTTCTAATGTCTGTCAACATAAAAATGTTGCCCTATTACTTTAGACAGGATCATTTCAGGGCGTTTACTCTGGCAAAACCATCTCTTTTACACAGAAATCGCAAAAATTTCATCAATACAAATTGTTTGTCTAAAACTATAAACGAGACATTCATTTGTGAGAAGACGTCATCTGCAGTATCGAAGTGTTCATTTAGGTTTCACATCACTGACATTATTATTACTTGTTGCTGATTTTTTGCGATGAAAGCTATACTCACAATGCAGTGAGTATGTCATATGACAGAACTACTGTTATAGAAATATCTAATTTTTAACACTTTTACAGAAAATTGATGAAAATGTGATTTGTTAATGATAAATTCCAAAAAGCATTTAGGTATCGTCGATTCTTGTTGATATGAAGAGCAGATCTTGCGACATAGTTTTTTTGTTTCATGATAAAGTCTACATTTAGAGATTGTGTATCTTTCTTCTTTTTTTACTTCAGTCAAGCCTTAATAGTGACTGTTCAGTCATCTATCTATAACGTGTCTCTCTTGTTTACCGATCAGATTATAAATAATTTTTTTATTATACATGAAACATGTTCATGTCATATCGGGTCCGTATACCATTAACTGGTATTTACTTAGTTCCAATACAACAAAAAAAAAAAGAAAAGAATAGAAACTCGTTGATTTTAATGAACTGAACTAGTCCGCAAAATGTACCCGAGTTGATTCTTCTTTTTCTATTTGTTTGTTTACTGATTAATCGAATCAATGCACATCTCCCTCTCTGTATTGTTAACAATGTTCTCTTCTACTTTTTCTCCTCTCTAGCTCACACTTCTCTCTCATCGTGAGTGACCTCGATCTATTCCTAATTATGTCTATCGTTGTTCGGTTGCGTAAAAAATTTATCTAATTTCAAAAAAAATAAAAAGGATACCCCATTCTTTTACATACTGAGTTTTACGTTTTAAAACCTTGAATATGTGGGCGTTAATCTAATTGATTTTAAACAAAATATGGTTAATAAATCAAATGAAAATGATTTTAATTTATTATCAAGTAAAACAGATATAAAAAAGAATTTCACTGATAAATTTAAACATATTTACAATACATTTTCAACAAATCCAAATAATAATAATGGTAGTTCTGATTCATGGCAAGATACCTATCGGCCATCATCATTACTTGTTTCCATTATTGAACCGACAACAGCATTCGAGAGTAATCTAAGTGATTCATCTGATTGTGATAATAATAATAATAATGATAAAGTTAAAACTACAAAACAGATTGATTGGGAAAAATTATTTCATAAAAAATCAAAATTACAAAATGGTAATAAAATATCATCCAATTGGGAAACAGTCGATTATGAACTATATTCACCTATAAATGATTTTCCACCACCAGTAACTGCTCATAAAACAGACGATTATATCAACAATAATATTCAAATAATAAAAACAGCAACAACAACAACAACAACACCAAATAGTAACAATTATTGCCGTTTATTTCAATATAATCGATATAATCAACCTTCATCAGTATCATTACTTAAAAATTCTTTACAACGTACATGGATAAATAAGAAATTATTTCATATTGCCAATAATTACGATAATAAACGTGTTTCACGAGAACCAATTTTAAGTTCGTCAACTGAACAAGGCATTTGTCTCAATGATCAACAACTAAACAATGAATGGCAACAAACATTTCCAGATTCTTGTGAAAGTTTAACAGTTTCATTAGATTTGCATGTACCAACAGACGATATAGTTACGGGAGATGATGATGAACAATATATTCAACGAAATGTATCCTATAGAAGAAAATATTTTCAACAACAACAACCACAATCCTTACCATCGACCAATAACATTCCAACACGTTTTATGTCAAGTTCATCATCTGATGATATAAATAAAACATTTTTTCAACAACAACGTACGCATAATATCAAACGTTCAAGGTAGAAGAGAATAATTGTAGTAGAAATAATTATTATTAGAAATAATATTTTTAAATGATTGAAAATCATGATATATAGATATATTTGTCATTTATGAATCAGGTTTTGTTTCTATATACAAATATACTTAGATTTAAAAAAAAAGAATCCTGTTACATTTATTATCATTGCATTTGATTTTTTTCTATTACAATAGATGTATAAAGCCTAATCATGGAAAAGTGGCACAACATTTTGATGAAGAACTTGTTCAAGAACAATTACGTTATAATGGAATTTTAGAAATATCTTATATTCGAAATCAAGGTTGGCCCGTACGATTTACATTTGAAGAATTCTTAAAACGGTAGACTAAAGAATAAACTAAAAATTAATTAATTACTCAATTTAATATTTATTTTAGTTTTAAATTTATTTCCTATGCTCAAAGTAATACAGTAAAACCAACAGCTTCAATTTGTGAAAAAATTTTGAAAGATTTATCTTTGACTGACTATGTAATTGGAAAGTCCAAAGTAAGTGGTTTAAAACGGTTATTGTGTTTTTTTCTTCAATTAATTAAAATATTGTTTTAATTACAGGTATTTTTAAAATTAGAGCATTTGGAAATATTAAATCAACGTTACGAAAAATTTTTAGCCGATGTATTAAAATGTCAAAAAGTCGCAAAAGGTTTTATTGTACGACGTGGTTTATTGAGAAAAGCCAAAAAGAATGCGAATGATAGACATACGTTTTTACATCAGGTATCAACAAACGGAAAACATATACTGGAGAAATTAGTTTCACTTCCAAAAGTAAGAGTTTTTTTTTTCCGAATCAAATTCAAAAATGTTATAATTGGTTTTTTTTAATGATTATTATAGATTTCAACGCGAGATATTCAACCACCCAATAAACAACAGCCACGTTCATCTAGAGATCATCATTTTGTTAAGAAAAGTGCAAAAGATAAAAAATGTATTCAATCAAGTACAACAACTGTTCCACGATCATCTACAACAGATGAAACAACAACACCAGCGAGTGAACAAGAATATCAAGAAATGCTCAAGTTGGCTAAAGTATGTGTATAGATGATATATTTACTTTTTATTTGAGATAATTATGATATCTGTTATAGAAATTACAATTATTGAAAAAAGAAGATCTTGATGAACTTGAATCAACAAGAGGCCGAATAATGTCAACAAATCGATTTCAACGACATTCAATGGCTATGGCCGGTGGTGAAACAACAACACCAGATGATTTTAAATCAAGTATTGAAGGTTTATCGGAACGTGAAGTTCGCATACTTGTTCAAGATGAATTTATTCCCAATACAAAATCATCAACAATGCAAACAAATGTTGATTCAGGTGCCGGTGTACCACATTTTAAACAAACATTAGCAGAAACATCTACAATTGCTACAGCGGCACTTGCTTCAAGTGTTCCAATAGCACCAAGATTAAAAGCAGATGATGCTCAACAATTAGTGAAAGAAACAAGCGTTGCAGCAATGAGTGGAGATTTATTCATGAAAGGTAACATAGCATACCGTTTAGTAAAAATTAAAAAAAAACAAAACGTTTTCATTGTTTTTCAGAATGGGCATGGGAAAGACAACACAATAAAAATCCAGACACTGCTGATGCACTATTGTCAAATTTAAATGAAAACGATGGATTGAATAAACAAAAACGAGAAATTGTGAAAAAAATATTAATGATTCAGCGTAAAAAATTTAAAGATAGTCAATTTAAGAAAAAAAAAGACTTAGATAGTTCAACATATAGTCTCGGTTACCACAAAGATAATGATGATGAAGAAAAATTAGTCGATACTGATGATGAGTAAATTAAAATTAAAATTTTATTAATTTTTTGAAAAATAATGAATATCTTTTTTTTAATTATTTCAGAAAAGATCCATTGAACGATGCTTGGGATTGTGCACGCACTATAGATGTTCATGAAGCATATGAAAAAACAGTTCATTGTTATCGTTTATCAATGCGTATGTTGAAGATAGCAACATACGTTGTTCTAAATATTGGTGTATTATTATCAGCATTAGTCAGTAAAGGAACATTGCTTTTAATGACAAATTCTGTCGCAAAAGTTCAAGAGGTATGTTTTAACATTAGATTCTATATAATATTAAATTATAGTTTCTACTATTCTTATAGAGTCCCTACCGTGAAAGGTGGGTGTGGATGTTATTGACAGCTGTTTGTGCACCTTATGTGTTCACATTTATCGATAGTCTTGGAAAATGCTTATTCGGTAATAAACCTTGGCCAACAGTGAAAATATTTACAATAGTATTTTTTATTGAAACACTCCACAGTTTTGGTATAGCCATATTTGTCTTTCATATTTTACCTAAATTAGATGCTGCTCGAAGTCTATTAATAATGAATGCTGTTTGTATTATACCAGCATTTTTAAAATTATTTTTGAGTAAAACTAATACAAGTATGCTAAGACGAAGTCTATTATTTATGATGGATTTTTTTGCTTTTGCCATGCAATGTTCATGCGTTGGTATTGCTCTGGCATCAAGATTTCTAAAAGTTGATCCAAATATAATTGCAAGTGAAAGTCGTTTGAATTTATTTTCGACAAGTACAATTGATAGTAGTACAGTGTTATCATTCAAACGACATAAACGAGACGATATACTTGATGCATCTGGAGACTTGTATAGTGATTTATCAGCATCACTTGATTCATCAGCATCTATTGGAGGTAAAACATTGAATATGAGTTCAATTGATCATAATTTACAAACAATCTTGGCCAGTTTTCATATCGAATGGGAATTACCTGTTGCATTAATCTTAGTTTCACTGACATGGTAAGTATGTTCTATGAACGATTTCAAATTTAGCATAAGTCTCATGTGTTTATAGGTGGGAAAATTTTGTTGATCGTGATATAAAATTTGGTGGAAAAACAGTGGTAAATATGAAATTATTAAAAGAAAATATAATTGCCACACGATCAAAAACATGTTTAATAATTACATTTTGGAAAATTCTTGTCACAATTTTATTTGCTTATTTATTTCATCATGGTATATTTAATACATCGGTTGTATTTCATACGAATAAAGAACAAATGCAGGATCCACTACTACTTTCTAATAAAGATCCATGGACATCATCGAGTCTGTTATCAGCAGATATGTCACAATCACCAGAGAGTTTAGCTGGTATACCTGTGGGAACTGATATAGGTGGAAATCGTTTGCGTCGAAACATTCCAACACCCCTACTTGGATTATCAACAGAATATTCTAACGTGCTACTCGATCATTTATTTAAAAATCATCACTTTTATCTGAAGCCAGTTAATCAAACTCATCATCGATTTAAACGACAAGAAAATATTGTTAATGCAGGAGGAATAGACAATCTTTTTAATGGCGCTCAAATGAATGATCCATTAATGCCACAAAATTATAATGGCGCTCAATTACCTGCGCCACCCTTACCTTACGCTGGTGAAGAAGAAACACAAGAATTAACTTATAAAGATCGTTGGCTAACTTACTTAACACCAATGATATTAAAAGTTATCTCCGATGCTCTATGTTTTTACATGGGTCGTTTAGCTTGTAAACTATGTATGCAACGTATATGTTTTGCATTACCCATTACATTAGTAACACCAGTTGTTCTAACAATTTTACTTGCATTGTGTGAATTTTTTCCAAAATCAACAGTATTCATCGATGGTTTCATCTATTGGAGTTGTTATGAAGATTTTGCAAAAGAGTCATTTAAATGGCAAGTTGTTTGCGGTAAGTAATTTTAAAAATAAATAGAAAAATTGTGATCATGTTTATTTTTTTATAAAATTACATTTTAGGTTTAGCGTTATGGTGGTTATCAGAATTGTGGATCGGTGGTCATATATGGTTTGGAAAAAGTCAACGTTTGGCATTTACAGAACGGTACTGTTATTGATAATATATCATATTGTTAAAAAATATACTTATAAATTTTTCTAGGCTCTTTGTTTCACCACGCTATTGTGCAACATTACTAGAACAATCATTAATGATGAATAGACGTCGTAATGAAAAAGATGAAATACCTTTGACTGTTGGTACATTTGAAGATCAAGGCGAATTTCCAACTGATGCTGATTCACAAAGTTTTGAAGAATTATCACTTGAGAAAAAGCTAAGTCAAGGTGTTCCTACAATAATTTATTCTTGTGCAACGATGTGGCATGAAACAGAAACAGAAATGTTACAGTTATTAAAATCAATTATGAGGTAAATATTATTTTTTCTTCAGTTCAACGAAAACATTTAACCGATAATATTTTTTATTAGATTGGATATTGATCAAAGTGCTAGACGAAAAGCTCAAGATGTATTCAAAATAAAAGATCCTGATTATTATGAATACGAAGGTAAAGTAGCAGAAAGTAAGAAAAAATGACTGAATTAATATTCAATTTTCGTATTATAGGACATATATTCTTTGATGATGCAACAGAAGAAGATGAAAATAATGAACAAGTACCCAATAAATTTGTTCAACAACTTTTGAGTGTCATTGATAGAGCAGCAACGTACGTGAGATAAAAACTATTCTAATTATAACTATTTTAACTTTATCATGATATATATATTAGAGCTGTGCATGAATGTCCAATGAAAATTCCACCACCGTTTAAAACTCCAACTCCTTATGGTGGACGTTTAACGTGGGTGTTGCCTGGAGGAAATTTCTTAATTGCACATATTAAAGATAAAACAAAAATACGTCATAAAAAACGGTGGAGTCAGGTAGGAATAACAAATCTTATGAATATAATGAGAATATAATTGATATCTATGTGCTCTAAGGTTATGTACATGTATTATTTACTGGGTTATCGTCTGTTTGGCGATTTGAATATTATTGAAAAATTGTATAAGAAAAAACGAAAGAAAGACTCGTCTAAAAATAAATCAAAAATATTTAAAGGATTTGGAAATTTATTGAATAATATGGATAATAAACTACGAATAAAAGTATGAGTTTCATGTTTTCTGTGAGTCATATGTAGAGTGTACTATTTTCTTATATAGGCTGAAAATACGTATTTATTAGCCCTTGATGGAGATGTCGATTTTCGACCCGAAGCTGTTCGTCTACTAGTTGATCGTATGAAAAAGAACAAGAAAGTTGGTGCAGCTTGTGGACGCATTCATCCAATCGGTGATGGTAATTACAAAAAAAATGATCACATTGTTCTTCATCATCGTTTATTATTATCGGTATTTGTAGGTCCGGTTGTTTGGTATCAAAAATTTGAATATGCCATTGGACATTGGCTTCAAAAAGCAGCTGAACATATACTAGGTTCTAAATTTACATATGTTTTATTGATTTATTTGAAAATCTAACTATTTTTTCATATAATATAGGTTGTGTTATGTGTAGTCCAGGATGTTTTTCATTATTTCGTGGTTCTTCACTCATGGATGATCACGTTTTAAGAACATACTGTACCAAATCATCAGAAGCAAGACATTACGTGCAATATGATCAGGGTAATCATTTGAGACAAGTTTTTCAGAGTTAAAACAACTATCTTTAACATAATTTTAGGCGAAGATCGATGGTTATGTACGTTATTATTACAAGAAGGATATCGTGTTGAATATTGTGCTGCAAGTGATGCTTTAACATATGCTCCAGAATCATTTCATGTGAATATTATTTTATTGAGCTCAAATTATGAAGTAACTAATTATTGTATTTCATAGGAATTTTTTAATCAACGTCGACGATGGGTACCATCAACAATCGCGAATATAATGGACTTTTTATGTGAATATAAACATATTGTGCTTGTAAATGATAGTATATCTTATTTATATATTGTTTATCAACTATTTCTAATGGTGTCAACTGTTCTTGGACCAGCAACTGTCCTTTTGATGATCACTGGTAAGAATACAGTATAAATTAGAACAATTGCAAAGTTGTTTTCTTTTTATCCGTATTTTAGGTGCATTTAATGCATGTTTTGGTAAGTAAAAAAAAGATAAAATTAAACTGACAATAGACTTTTACGTGAATTATTTGTCTATCTTACAGGTACAACACTTTGGCAATCGATGATTATGTCTGTTTTGCCAGCATTTCTCTATTTAATTATTTGTTTTCATACAACAACTGATTTTCAAATTCGAGCAGCAGCATTTTTATCGGCTGTCTATGCTGTTATAATGATGGCCGTTATTGTAGGTACTACAATACAAATTGCTGAAGATTCATGGACATCACCGAATGCTGTGTTTCTAATGTTATTATTTTCCATATTTTTCATTGCTGCATGTATGCATCCACAAGAATTCTGGTGCATTGTTCCTGGTTTACTTTACTTTTTATGTATACCATCCGGTTATTTATTTTTATTAATCTATTCTCTCTGCAATTTAAATATTGTTTCATGGGGTACAAGAGAGGCACCAAAACAAAAGAAAAATCAAAGTAAAGAAGAAATAGAAAAGGCTCGTTTACAAGAACTGACACAAGCGAAAAAGAAATCAGCAGGATTTCTTAGTCAATTATTTGTTAATTTTAATGTTAAAAAATATGATGAACGTGTTCGATCATTTGCAAGAAAATGGTTAGGTGTCGATAGAAGTTCAATGAATAGTGTGCTTCTACAACAAATACTTGGTGCTGTTGAACGGCTTGAAAAAGTGAGTATTTTTAAAAACATTAGTATTACTATACTTAGATGATGTTTAATTTATTTAGAGTCGTTTGGAGGAAGAAATGGATGCGGTGGCTACCACTGGTTTATATCCTCCTAATGAGCAAAATACACATGCAACACCGAATCTGCGTAATGATTTACCATCAGATTTAGAAACAAAATATGGTCTTGTTCAATTGCCAACAACTACTGGTCAACCTTTAACACGGTCCAGTTATCCATTTGATTTACACAATCAACAACAACTTATTTATCGTGGTTTAAATAAAACATCATATGGTCAAATAATACATCCACACTCGTATGCAGGTGTAAGTCATTCACAATCTGGATTATATAGTGACGATAGACAAATGATAAAACGTGATGAATTAGTTAATCCAGCATGGATATTTCATAAATCATTAAAAGATTCTGATATTGAATCACTTGATCCTAAAGAAATTCAATTTTTTCAACAAGTTATTGAACGTTATCTCTATCCATTAGTAGAAGATAAAGAACATCAAAAAATTGTTGCACGCGATTTAAAAGCATTAAGAAATAATGGATGTTTTAGTTTTTTCATGTTAAATACACTATGGATAGTTATTATATTTCATTTTCAATTAGTTCAATCAAAAGTACGTGATTATGTTTATATACCTATTAAGAGATTGAATTATGATTCATTACGATTTGAACCACTTGGATTTTTGTTTCTGCTCTTTTTTGCAAGTATTTTGTTAGTTCAATTTATTTCCATGTTATGGCATCGTTATGGTACCCTATTACATTTATTAGCATCGACTGATTTAAAATTATGTCCACGAAAAAATGTTGATCTATCTGATAATGTTGAAGAAGCCGTTGAACAAGTAAAAGTATTACAACAATTAAAAGGTTTCAATGACGAAGAACTACCTGAGCCTGACTATGATGAAGGTGATGAACACGAAGGACGGCAACCATCAGAACCAGATTTATCAACAACGGGGCTTATCTATCGATCAAAATGGAAAAATGGAGCGGCAAGATCAGCTACATCCCAACAATGGAGCGGTTTAACATCCACAGATGCTAAGGTGAATGATATGCAACGTAATCTAGACACGGATCATAGTGATATGAGTCAAGTGTACGGTTTTAATGGCTATGCTAGCTCGGTAAAAACATATGGATCAAATTATGAGGCAATAAAACGTCGGCAACAATCAAATAAAAAACATCTATATAATAAATCATTAGATCATGTATTCCGAAGTCGTTGGCAAGCATTATCACAAGGAAAAAATAATCAATTGAAACATAATAAACAGCGTGCAAAACTAACAGATGTATTTCAACAACAACAGATGCAACTTGAACGACATTCTCAACAACAAAATCAAAAAAATCGACGATCATCAAGTATATTGACAGTAAAAAATTCTATAAATAATGTAAATACAAATAATAATACAGAAAATAATCATCAACAAGAATATCAAATACACAATGAGCTAAAACAACCATCCAGAAAACAAAAAAAAAAATCAAAACAACGACATAGTGAACAATTGTGACGTATGTGTCCGTGTGAATTTGTTCTCCGTTACTGTTGTGGTTTTTTGTACAATTTTTTCAGATGTATAAATGTTAGAATATATGCGAACATTTTTTGCTATTTCTAAACATTTGACTTTGTCTATAAAAAAAAGTCTTTAAAGCCAATGGTTTTGGATGATAAGGGGTATCAAAGACCATGACGACTCCACTCAATAAGACAATCTTTTACTTTCACTATATTCTCTAATTTATTGAAGATAGGTTCGGAGCTGGATCTTAGAGGTTTTCTATCATGCTGAATCTAATGGCATTATCAGTTTTGCGACTACCGTACTTCATAATGGGATTCCAGAAAGCCGGTTTTTGAGCGCTGGAGTTTTTTCTTAGAACAGTCTTAGACATTGAAGCCAAACAACCATATAGGCCTTGTAGAACCTACTTTCTTTTATCTAAAAACTATTGTGGAAAAATTTTGTGTTGTCTCAGGCGGCTTCTGGAAACGGTTCTTTACGGAAAAGCCAGGGTTTCTGGAAAACCGTTCACGTAGACCCAGCCTTTGACGACGAAGCCTTGGCCTTTTCTGTACCCGTATCAAAAAAGCATGGCTTCCGAAGACCTACCTACGGCTAAAATTCATGTTTGGGAACTTTCAAAGCACATGGAACATAGGTTATTGTCGACGCTGAATCTTATGGGAATGTTTGTTTTTCGCAAAAGCCCAAAAACCTAGTGAAAACATTACTTGACGAAATAATCCATTTTTCACCATTTTCACCGAAAATTAAAAAATTGATAACTGAGTCAAAATTGTCTCATACTGCTTCAGAGATCAACCTATACTCAATTTTATCTGTGCTAGACCATGAACTTCCATAATAGTTTTAAAAACCAATAGAAAGTACGTTGGTTTTTGAAACGTTTTCTAGAAAGCTTTGGAAATAAAGGAATGTTCTTACTAATTTCTACTACAAAAAATACTACCTAGCACAGATAAAATTGAGTATATGTTGTTTCTAGAATACCTCTGGAAAACCCTAAAGTTAGTGGGCATGTATTGGTGATCTTATACATTTGTAAGCCATGCTTTTTTGATACAAATGCAGAAAAGGCCAAGGCTTCGTCGTCAAAGACTTGGTCTACGTGAACGGTTTTCCAAAAACCCTGGCTTTTCCGTAAAGAACCGTTTCCAGAAGCCGCCTGAGACAACACAAAATTTTTCCATAATAGTTTTTAGATAAAAGAAAGTATGTTCTACAAGGTCTATATGTGCCGTAAGGTTTGATAGTTGGAAGTGTCCACATTGTCTGTCGACATCGCAACTTGTGCGTAGCACAACTGCATTCTAGTTTATTTTGTTATAAGATACATCCGAATTATAGTCTTTCATTACAATTCTATAGACTAAGCGTTACACTGTCGAGAATAGATAGATGTGTTTTGAAGAATGGATCATAAAGTGGGTGATTGTAAAGTGGGAATGGATCATGAAGAATGCGTATTCAAGAACTGGTCTTACTCATATCTTATTTAGATGCAATTAAAGATAAAATGGTGCAGTTCCAAATACTATTGAGATTGTGCCCACTAATATTTTGCATTTACTAGCTGTGTTGTCATTCATGTTAAATTATGAACAATATTTATTCCAAGTAACTTTAAGGTGAGATATTCTCAACTGAAATGCTATCGATTTTTAGCTCACCTAAGTTTTGGGTGGCTGACAGAATATTGGAAATACATATTTAATATTTGTTGTTTTTGTGCTTAATCAAATAAATTCCTTGATTGGCATTCCTGCCTTTCATACCATACTAATCGCGCTTAACCCCATCAATCTTTTTAAGAAAACACATAGCTCTGAGTGGGGTGAATCAAGAATACTCCTTAAAGTAAACCGTATTTTTTAACTTTATTAAAATCCAATTATCTTAGGGATAATTAACACTAATTGAGTAGATTTTCACACCACTGGACTCCTTATCGTTTCAGGAACACGTTGAAAGCAGATTCCGAATTGTTCGATGAGAACTGACTGAGATCCCTTTGACGGTTTAAACTAGAGTAATACAATGATATTCTTGATTCGCCTCAAGTGGGCCGTTTCAAGAACCACGTAGACAGGCATGGGGTGACAGAATTAAAGGAAAATATTCCAGATAATGGTCCAGGTAAAGATTGGTATTACGGTTTTATTAGGAGATGGTCATCCGAATTAAAGATAATGAAAAGTATGAAACTTGAAAAAGCACGCAATGATGCATTGCCCGTTCAAGTTCTCGATAGTTGGTTAACAAGTTGTATATAATGTTAAAAAAACTCGATTTATTCGATAAACCGAGGTCTGACAAGCGTCGGTACGTTACATCGACTTCAAGTCATAGATGCAGAAAGCGAAAAAAGAAAGTTAAAATTGACGGAGAAAACTGCAAAAAAGCCTCGTACAACCAAAAAAAACCGTTTCAAACTTATTAGGTAAACGTATTCCTGTAGATGAACCAATCATCACTCCCTTATCCTCGACCATTTTTCCGTTACAACCAACATCATTTTCAATATATAATTCCTATCTGCCCTCAAGTTCATTTCCAAGTACTTCATCAACAGACTACTCACCACTTCCAGGTGAAATACACAGTTTCGTCAATATCTCAACAGCAACTTGTGGGCAACACCCAAATATGTATTGTTGTGTTTGCATGAAGCAAATACAACCCTATTTGACAACATATTATAGTTGTGCAAGTTGTAATAGTGTTATCTGTTTTCCTTGTCGTCAATTTAGTCAATCATCATCGACATTTGTTTGTGAATTATGCCAATGGCCAGTCGTGATCTTCCACAAATCTACTGAATAGTACTAAACTGTATGGTTTAAACATTTAACATTAGTCTATTTTTTTATAGTGGCTTCCAGAAAAGTACTGAAACTTTAGTTTTATATTGTGTTGTTGTATAGCAGTTTTTGTTGCTTAATAAGGTGAGATGAATATGGCACTGTTCCTTTCGGTGGATTTACTGTAGATATGATACTGTACTGTATGTTGTATATGTTCGAATCTCAATCCTAGCAAGCATTCAAAATTGTATGTATGTGAACGGCAAGCGATATTCAAGACGATACAACGCATGGGTGACGTCCTGAAGCTCCACAGGAGGTGCTGGAAAGGAGAAATAATTTTTTCTAATTACGTTAATTACACGCGTGGAAACTCATTTAAGCCCAGGCCTGGGAACGCATGAAGATCCACGCGTTGACATCAAATATAGCCAGGCTGACCCATCCAAATAGCCAGGTTTGAGTCCAAAATAAATTTTGGATCCCCACCCGAGGCCAGAACCTGGGAAATTTTCCAGATAAGAACGACAGAGAAGTCCCAATGCTTCGCGAAAATCGCCTTGTTTTGATTCATCAGTTTGATTTTGCTTATCATATTTTCAACTATGTCCTCATGGCTAATCGAGTTATTTTGATGCGACTCGAAATCTTGTAAACTTAGCTATTTGTTTTCTTGAATCACCCCAACCGGGGTGAATCAAGAAAAGCTGTGCGGCGAGCCAGTAAAACCACTGGAAGTCCGATACTTTGAAGCATTTTAAGCCAATTTTTCACAAGTGTATCAATGAGAGTCTTGTCTATATGACTGCCAATGCACTCAAAAAGATCTCTAAGGTTAAAAAAAGGTATTCAACAAATATAAGCATGATCGCGAAATTGTTCTTGATTCACCCCACACCACTCTACTCTTAGAAAGCAAACACAGAGGTAGCACTCTTTTTTTTGTCGTTTTATAATGCTTTCTTTTCTCTCTGTCTTGCACAGTAGTTTACTTTTTATTTTTAGTGTTCTATTTATAGTTTCTTTCTGTTGTGGTTTGGCTTGAGTCATTGTTATTATAGGTCGAGCCATCAGAATTTAACGGGCCGGTTAACGGGCAGTTTATAGGCAGTTGAAAAGCCACCTATTTACGTTGGTAAAACCATCAAAAAACTGTCTGAACGGTCTAAAAACGGCCAATGAACTGCCTGCTAACTGGCAATTAACTCGCAGTTTTCAATGTCCTGCGTAGTTTCCATGCATGTTAATGCCTGGAAGTTAAGTAACCAGCGTGAATATGCACCGGAGTCTGGGCATTGGAATTCGATGGGCATATCAATACGTGTCTTGGCATGGGTTCCCATGTGGAGCCATACATTGACAGGGTACTTCCATACATTAAAAGAATATCAAGATGTAATGTATTTTACCTTCTACAAACGAGCTTTTACTTGCGAATAGTGAAAAACATTCTTGTACTTCGAGAAAAACTTTTCAACAACTGAAGTATTTGCTGTTGACTTTTAACGCTTTTATTGAACTGCATCTACGAAGCATAACATTTACAAAACAACCGTTAATAGCATTGATTTGTGATGAATTAATTGTGCATTTTGCGCAAGTTCATCGTGAAGATCCATCGAAATTATGTCAGAATATCAAGATGCACTCTGTTTTACCTGCTCAATACTATGCAGTTGAATAAAAGCTTTAAACATCAACAGCAAATACTTCGGTTGTTGAAAAGTTTTTCTTGAATCTTCCGAAGTACAAGAATGTTTTTTACTATTCTCAAGTAAAAGTTCGTTTGTAGAAGATAAAGTGTAGTAGATCCTGATATTCTTTTAATCCATGGTAGAACCCTGTCAATTCATGGCTCCATCGCGATTAAGCGCACGATTAATTGCGGATTTTTGTGCGATTTTTAGTACACGGGTAATTAAAGTTTATTTTTGTTTTACTAGAATACACGAACTTTTATTCTTGTAAGCAATAGTTTGTACATTAACTTTTTCCTCATTTTCTGGACAGTAAAAAACATTTTTTCTAAAATATGTAGATCAACTTAAAAAAGCTTTGGTTCAACCTGTCACTCGTGATCCACCCATTTTTCGACCAAAACGACCATTTCATGTGGTGGATTATGACCCGAAGTAAAACGTCGCTGCAGAGTTTTAAAGCAAAAAATGTTCTCTCAGCTAAGCAATGAATGAATTTTCTGAGAGGGAAGATTGTTTAATATAGAGTTGTTAAAGAAAAAATATTAAGACACAATAAATCATCTAACATCTAATCTGAAGTCTTCCCTCACACGACGATATTACATTAAATATAAGTTAAGAAAATGCTTTTTACTATATATAATATCTGCGCTCGTGGACCGTGTTCAGAATCATACGACATCTATGAAATCTTATTCAACGAACAGTGAGAAAGGAAAGAAAAAATCTTATCGACGTCGGCCATTTTTGCCAGCTGTTATTGGCAGGTAACTTCTTACAACGTTCTTTTGATTGAAATAGAAAACCGACGCTAGAACAGCTGAAATCCCGTTATTAGAAGCTGTCATATCACAGACCAATATAGTGAACACTAACGGTCGATACTTCAGGACCGGACGAACAAAAGACAGATTGTTCTTTTAATAATGCATTGTTTGACTGGAGTTCACTAAACGTAAAAGTTAGAGGTAAGTTTTTTAATGTACTTCTAGATTTCTTTCTGAAGAGAATTTTGCATCTGTATTCGACATCTACGAAATCTTGAAATTCATCTATGAAATCTACCAAAGTAACACTTTATTTACAGAATCAAGTACAGAAAGCGAGAAAGAACTATCGTATAAGGCACAACAGTAATCAAGTTTAGGAAGAATAGAAGAAAGATAGATTCGACGCCGAACCTCTGATGGAGCTAGTCCAAAGACACGACTCACTGTACCTCGATTGCGCTGACAGTGAACATGCTAGACATTGCTCTTGCTTGTCAGCAAGAGCAATGTCTCTGGCATGTTCACTCCACCTAAGATCGTGCGAAACAAGAACTCCAAGACGGCGAACAAAAGACACAACGGAAAGAGGGGTTTTATTAAGATACAGCTGATGGCGAACAAACGGATAAGGATCAAAACTAAAAGCAAGTCAAGAACATTTAGACACATGAGATTAGAAGGAGACCAATTTGAGACAGAATTTATACAGGTTTGAACATTAGAAAAGTTAAACGGATCCAAAGAATAAACACGTGCAATTAAAAAGACAGATTTCACAATTTTTTGGAAGAGAAACCGGCACGTCATTAATAAAAATAAGAAATAAAAGCGGCCCAAGCACACTGCCTTGAGGAACGCCAGAAGTAACAGGAGAAGGAGACGAGATAGAGTCAATCACACGCATACACTGTAGACGATTGGAGAGGTAAGAAGACAAGAGAGAGAGTAAACAGTCATTCACACCACAACACGACAATTTTTTGAATAGAAAAAAGTGAGAGACAGAGTCAAACGCTTTAGAAAAATCAAAAGACACACCAACACACTTCACATCAGCTTTTCAGAAGTTAGAAACAGTTGACGACAGAAATAACAAGGTATCTAAAGTAGAGTGTTTAGGGCGAAAACCAAATTGTTTGTTTACAAAGAAGGAATATTTAGAGAGATGAGAAAAAATGAAATTATAAATTAAACGTTCAAATACTTTAAAAACAACAGGAAGAAGGGAAACAGGACGGCAATTAGAAATATCAGCAAGAGCACCTTTTTTGTGAATAGGAACAACGTGTGCAATTTTCCATTGGGCGGGAAAATTACCAGAAGAGAGCTATAGATGAAAGATGAAATGAAGATGACGTGAAAGGATGTCAGCACACGAAGGGGGAAAGGAAGAGGGGATTCCATCAATACCAACAGTAGACTTTTTATCCAACTTCCGGAGTAGATTTTCGACATCACGCACGGAGAAGTCAAGCTTTTTATTCACCGCTGGAAAGTCTGCAATAGCAGAGGGAGGAATTTGACTCTGAAGAGAAGAATAGCAAGAAGAAAAATGAGAGTTGAAGAGTTCGGCTTTATCTGCATCTGTGGAAACAGATTTGGGGCCCAGAAGATAGATTGAGGAAGAGAGGAGTGAGAAAAAGACAGTTTTTTATTGAGCTCCAAAACTTACGAGGATCGGAAAACAAAGAAGAGAGTGAGCGAAGATAAGAAGATTTTTCACGACGGTAGATAGAGAGAACAAGATTCCTTGCTTTACGAAATTCAGCAAGGTTAGAAGAGGTGTAACGACGTTTTAGTTTCCGAAGCATCGGTTACGGGTAAAGATAAGATAAGACGTGCAAGTTTTGGAGAAGGAGCAGGAAGAGTGAACGGGCACTAGTGGAACATAACTTCGTATGGCATCATTTAAGTGCTCAGTTCAAATATAGACAGCAGAATCAGCATCATGGGCCATATAAAAACCAGATGGGATGAAAGAAAGACAATGACGTAGTTCTGTCCAGTTGGCTTTTTTAAAATTGTAACAAAAAGATATACGTTTAGGCAAGGACTGGACAGGTATGTCAAAAGTGGAACACAGAGAAAAATGAGGTGAGCGACCAAAAGGTGGCAGAGCAGAAAAAGATGAACAATACGAAGAAGATGGGAAAAAGACATAATCGATAAACATATGATGTGTAGTTGCCACAGAAAAACTAACAATAGAACACAAAAAGGTGTTAGAGAGAGAACTGAATGCTCGGATCAAGAAAGTTTAAGTTTAAATCAGATCATAAGACGATAGAAGATGGGATAAACAAATATTTACAGACTAGAGAGTCCAACACTTCAACAAAAGATTTAACAGATACAGTTTGAGATCGAGATAGGCATTGCACAACAACAAATTGACAGACGAGGAGTGAATATGGATAACGAACGCTTCTATGTCTTTAAAGAATTCAAGCACAGAAAACTGAAAAGAGAAGATATAGGAGACTATACCACCTCCTCGTCGATTACGATCATGTCTAACTATTGAATAACCACTAAGAAATAATTCATTATCGCTAATATCGGTGTTCAGGTTGGTCACTTGAAATGAGATAATGTCAAAGTCTCTGAAAGAAATAGAAGTTTCGTCTCGAATGAGACTAAAGTTTTTGACTAGACTTTGTACGTTGTGAGAATAAATCCGAAGTTTATGAATTAATGTTGGCTTGAGTCACGTGATATCACTCGATCGTGACGCCACTCGATTGTTGTTGATTAATATTTGTTTGTTTATTACCCGATAAGTGAATTGATCGACGATTGATAGGTGGATTAGAATACGATTGATAAGTAGCTATTTTCGGTATAGTCGATGGAGTAGAGGGTGTTTTGGAGGCCTGTAACAATGCCTCTTGCTGTATATCTTGTGTTTGTGAATGGTTACGTTGTTGTTGACGACGTTCATAAGCAATTTGAGATTGGATTAATGTTAAATGCTTACGAATATAGACGAATTTCATATTATTATCAGATGAGTTCTTGAGTTTAGATGCATTGAACAAAATAGACGAACGTAAAATCGTTTAAACTAACACCAAGTATTGATGCACGATTGTTATTAACAACGAATCCTGTCTTCAATCGCCAAACAGAATCAATATTAGATGGATGAATGGTAATACCGAGTTGGTCTTGTATGAATTTTCCGAATAGATCACGATCACTAGCATTATCAACCGGATAAAGATTCTTTACGATTATATTTTTTTCCTCTTTTCACGCTCAAGGTTTTCGATTGTTAGTTCTAGTTGTTGTTTAATGCCATTTATACTATGTTCAATTGTGTCAACACGTGATAATAATATTTGTAAACAACGAGTCGAAACTTTTTCAACACTTGAATTAACAACACATGCAGGACAGAGCCAATTAGTATGAACTTTACCTTTAGCTAAAATCCCAAATGCTTGAAAAATTTCAACAGACATATTTAGACAACCAATAAGATACCATCTTTCGTAGCCGTCACATGCTAATGCATGGTCATTATCATTCACCGGATTGTTGCAAGAGCAAAAATATTGATGAGCCGTGACTGGGCCATCAGCTGAGTCATTCAAATTCTTTTTTCGTTTCGACGATTGAGCCATCGCAAAAAATAGGGATGAGACGAGAATGAGTGTGAGCGACGTAGGTGCGATGAACGAGCGATAGTTGTGAAAATTGTGAAACGAACGTTAATAGCCAGCAATTATCTAGAATGATAAGAGGTTCCGTAAGAATTTTTATGAAACACTCTCCAGATCTTACAATAGGAAAAAACGACCGAAGCGTTAAGCGTGTCTTCGAATAATTGAACTATTTCTTTGCAGGTCTATTAGCGTTGTATTTTTTCTTGTAATTTTTAGTTATCTGGAGAATAACGAATAGATCAGTAATCCAGCCAATGAATGTTTTATATCTATCATAAACAAGGATGATTTGAAAACTCTCGTAACTATCAAGTACATTGGTTTTATGGTATCGTAAGATTAGCACGATAGCTATCATTTGGCCAAAGTATATAATCATGATATTAGCATATCTAATATTTTATGGTTAGGAGCACGAAACAGCCAAGTGAGTGCTCATGAGATATTTTTTGATGATCGGTTAATCGGTCTGTCGCAGCTCATGGCGATTGGGGAGAAAATATTTACATATTTATACTAGGACTGAAATTACACAATTTAGCAAAAGTAAGGATTTTTAAATGAATCTTACGCTATTCTGGAATAACTTTTTTTCGTTTGTTGTTTTAGACTGAGAATATATTTAAATATCATATTTCTCATTCGTTTATCATTTATTCTTCTATGAAATGAGTATTTTTAACATTTGTTTGTCCAAAATGGTTTATGTATTTACGAAAATAGAATATGTAAGTTAACAATTTAATGCGTTTGTTTTAACGAAAGAGTTAGTCAGATTATTATTTCATCAGATATTGAATACAAATCATCATCAATATTATCTTGTACTTTTAAAACAACATTTAAATTTATGAAATGATCAAGTCGTTTGTGAAATTCATGAATAGCCGTTGTGGAAATATTTGCTGTTAAGCTTGTTGATAGTATGATTGTTGACACTAAGAGATCATTAGATGTTTTAATTTTAAATGAATGATTTATTTTTTCGATAATATTAATTAGATCATACAAATCATTATCATTTAAATGACATTCGGATAAAATTAGTTTTCTAGGAAAACAATTTATATTTTTACTCGTTTGTTCAATTAATTGACGTAAATAGGTATGGGGTATTGAGTGAAAATGAAGATAATTAACTTTATTTTGTTTATTATCGTAAGATTTGATAAATTCATTAAAATCTTGTAAAAAATCATTATTTAATTGCCACGTTATATCTCGCAATTGTAAATCGTTCAATTTTGTATGATTTTTAATACATGACCAAAATATTTGTTGTATTTCATATTGATTCATGTTTAAACCACCACCAATACTTAACATGGTCACATTTTTACATTGTTTATCTATAGTTGTAAATAATATTTTTAAAAAGTCATTCATTAGTACCGTTGCTGTATGAAATTTAAAATGTTCAAGTATCAAAACATTATTTTTTATATACGATAATAACAATGATTCATAACATTCACTTTTTATTTCATCTATATATAAACATTTAATTGGTCGTATTTTATATAACGATGAGTTATTCTCAATTATTCGATTCTCTTGTATATCAATGTCTTAAAAAAAAAATGAAACCATATTTGAAAATTAGATTTTTTAACAATATAACGTATAATTTTTAGTTAAATGATGATCAATTTTACCTATTGAATCGTTTGATAATATTTGTGTTTGTCTTGTTTGTATTGTTCTTCTTCCTCCAAATAATTCAGTTAATTCAATTGAATTAATTAATCGTCCTGTTTTACTTGTATAGAAAATATAATTTAGTAATATACTAGGATCAAATGCTAAATGTATATTATCCAATTGTAAACAATTAATATTACCATAATCGAGTAATTCTAATAGACATTCAATATTTTTCTTTCTTAAACGTATTGATACAAATTGTACATGTAATAGTTGTGTCATATATGGTAAATAACGATTTAAATTTTTATGCGAATCATTATTCAAATAAACTGCTGTTATATTTAAATATTTTAAATTTTTAATCATATTTGATTGTTGAATTATATTTATTATATGTTTTTTTTGTTCCTTTGATTGTTTTCGTTTTTTTCCAATTGTTAATGTTTGTATTGTAATCCATTTTCTTAGAAATATTTGAATTGAACTTGATGTCATAGTACATAATGTTAAATGTTTTATGGGTGCTTGTTGTATTAAATTTGATATGAATAAACAAAATGTTTTATTTCTGTTCATATAGGATGCAATTTCACTTGCCAATATAAATTCCGTACAGGTTTGATTTAAATTTGTAATAGTTGATGAATATAAACGAAGTTGATACCATTGTTTTATTCTTGTCAATATTAATTGACCAATAGAATTTTTTTTAAATAAATTAGAAAAATGATCAATATGTTCAATAGATATTTTTATAATCATTTCATTATTATGATGATCAATTTCAATTAGATTGTATTTTGAATAAACAACAGTTGATGAATTAGACAAAGATAAAGTTCGATTTTGGCTCAATCGTTGTTTAATATAATCATACGGATGTAAATGATAAACATCGTATTGCTTATCAATAATATTTATGAGTGTTAAATTCATAAATGAGTAGACATTATTGTTTTCATCATTAATAACAGGTATTAAATCATCGAGAAAATAATCATTGAATAATTTATTAATTAGACGTTGTTTTGAGGTTAACTGTTGAGATTGTTCACTATTTATTTCATTCTCATAATCAAATTCACGCGTTATTAATTGACTTAAAAAATGTTTATATATAACTTCAGTTGTTTGTTCATATAATTTTAATGCATTTGTTAATTCGAATAAATCTATTAATTTCAAATATAAACATAATTCATCGATTATTGTTCGTGGTAGTAAATATAACGAATTGCAAAATAATGTGTAATTTCTTGATATATAACGTAAAAGAAATGTGACCAATTGAATATTTTTCCCATTGTTTGTTAGCGATTTAACACGACAAATTCTAAACGAGGACAAAGAGGACATTGAAAAACGATATTTTTTTATAAAAAATAATGTTAAAAATACTAAATAACATCTAGTATCAAGAGTTTTGATAAATGGCGCTTCAAATAGACAAATAAATTTGCTTAGTAACGAAATCAAAGAGAAAAATCGACATTAGGTTTAGTTTTAAAGATACTATCTACTGAACTGTAACAGACATAGAACAGAGTCAATTCTGAAAGAAAATTAAGTCAGTTATTCTTTTGTATTTTTTAAATGGAAAGTTTGTTATTCATTGATATGGATTCGATTTGTTTTAGTTCAATGTGTAAACAAACCATCGGATGAAATTACTAAATCAATTTTCAATAAATAATAGTTTAACGATTTATTTGGCTAAAAAAAAATGTGTTCAATATTCATAAAATCGACAGCTAAGTTTTTTTATTGTTATTCTTTTTTGTTGTAAAATAATAATTTCGTTTTTTTGATTTTATTTTTTTATTTCAAAAAATAGTATACCATCTTATTTTGATCAATTTCATCAAATATTCATTCGAAAATAAGTATATACTAAATGATTAAGTACTCCCAATAAATAAGGATAGAAAAAAAATGTAAAATTTACACTATAAAAATTAATTTTAGAGATGATAAATTGGAATAGTTAATTACTCTACAAATTACTTTATATTCTATTTTGCAATTTATTTCTCTAAAAATCGATAAAAATCTCAAAACTTCTTTTTTTTTGTTTGCATCATTATGACTATCCTTTGTTGAATATTGATTACATATGTTGAGTATATATATACCTTCGGGAAAAACATCTTTTCTATGAAAGTGAAACATGATGTCTTGTTTAGTTGTCAAACCATTATACATGTGCCATATACGCTTGAAGTAGTTGAACTGTGAGCATTTATTATTATGCATATTTTATCGTTTATTTTTTTTATAGATAAAGTTTTTTTGTTCTATTGAACAGTATTTTTATTATTATGTCTCTCTCTTTATGTGACTAATTTGATCATATTTAAATTGAAGATCATTTATTAACTCTCTAAAAAGTAAGTAAAATATTTTGTCATTTTTATTCATATATAAAATTTAATTATATATATATCCTTTATTCAAAACAAATTCATAGTTAGTTGTCTTAAAATATGACAGACTATCTTTTTTGTTAGTGTCATACTGATAAAAACTGACAGATGTAACGATTCTTTGTTTCCTCTAAACATTGTTGTTCAATCAATTTATTTTTATATGTGAAGATTGCTTATGGTTCTATGTAACTTTTTTTTCTTTTCTTATTCGTTCATCTTTACTGCTGAGATGCATAATTATCCCAATTTTAATACATGCAAGCTGTTTGTATGTATATTCTTAGAAAGAGTTATTTGTCAAATAGAACAAAAAATCTATTCTATTGTATCTGATAGAGAATAGAGGTCAATATTATACTATTCACGTAATACATCTAGCCACATCCATTTCTTCTCTTATATAAACCTTCAATAGAATGATTAAATACAAACTAAAAATGATAAACCAGAAATGAATGTTATTGAAATTTATTTTGATATGATCATCAACTTTTATAAGACTTGAATAGTTTAAAATTTTTTTATTGTAAAATGTTTAATTAAATGTGTGTAAATTAAATATGAGTTCATTATGAAATATAAAACAAAACTCTATAATGATGAGGTTTAAATCTGCTAGACGTGTTCATTTGTTGTTCATGTACGAATATAAAAGAGTGTCAATAATTCATGTTCGTATTATCGAGAGAGAGAGAGAGAGAGAGAGAGAGAGAGAGAGGAAAAAAAATGACAAATTCCTATGAGTTTCTTTAGTCAAATGAATTCTACAGTAAATTTTTCAATCTAAATATGTATTCATTTACACCATTAATTCGTCTATTAATATATAGTACGAAATTAAAACGTTTATTTAAGTATGTCAGACATACAATAGTGATTCCATTCATTGTCATGTTGTGTTATATAGAGTTTTTGAATGAATAATCTTTTAGAGAAGATATATATATAAATATATATTGTTCATTATTTTTATGTTAGTTTAAGTATACCATTCATTTATAGATGTATGATGATCTATGTTATAAAAGTTATCGTTGCCTTTGTATAATAACTTATTATCAGTCGATGGAACGCTGTTAGTAGATAACGTAATTAGTAGAAATAGAGTTTAGCAAATAGTGTTCATTTTTTTCTTGTATCTTGTTCATCATTTTCTGTTATACGCAAATAATATAGATATGTTATTCTTTTATAGTCATAAAAAGTACATAAAATGAATATATTCTTATTATCATGTTATATCATCAGTTGTTAATAATAAAGAAATATATTATAATAGAAAACAAAACAAAAAAAAAGTTTGAAATGATAAATAATAAGACAAAAATGGACAAATGATAAAATAAAACAAACTCTTCGAAATATATTAAGTGATGTTATTATAACGAAAAGAAAATTGAGAAGTGTTTCTCTTCATGTGTTTTTCACTAATCTTTCATGTTTTCTTTTCACGTTAGTAGCACATTTAACCAAAAAGTCATTCCAATAATGTATGAAAGATAGTTTCTTTTTTTCTTCTTTTTTTACTCATCTATCTTGAATGTATAAGATATAAATAAGATTCTATTTCATCTTATTATTATGCTCTTACATCCAGATAAAGAAAACGCTACATATGTGTGTGTGTGTGTATGGAGAGTGTATGTCTACGTTCTTCGATAGAAAACTCCAATGATTAGCAATGATGAATGAACGATCGTTGTGAACTGTTCCAATATTCTTTCTTCTTCTTTTTTTTCCCCTATGATAGATGTGACATATATCTGATAGTCAGAATCAATTAAATATCCATCAGCGAAAGGTATATTAGAAAATAATATTGTTCTTAGTTATTTTAGACTTATATGTTTTAAAAGTATTTGTGTGCATCGCATCGTCTTGCTATGGCAAAATACACATACACATACAGTAGTTCGATTAATAATAGTCTAGAAATATTACTAAACATTATAAAAACAATTTTACATTGGATACTTGAATGTTAGTCAACGTATCTAAAGGAGAATATCGATCAATAAGTTCTAGTTTGTTTTCCACCATCATTCTTTTCTTTTTTTACATTGAGAATACAGTGGGTTAACTTTTAAAACATTATAAAAAAAAAATATTATATTATTTTGTTTTTTTTCTTTAAACTTTATTTATTTATTCATGAAACAAATAGTTATAACTAAGACAGGTCAAAAGAGAGCAAAGCCTCATTATTATCGTCCTGCCTAGCCAATAAAAATGAAAAAAATACTAAGGAAAATAGCAGAGAAAGAATGTAAAATATTATATTCATCATATTTGAATAGAGATTTAGTCACTCACTGATAGTTCAATAGTTAAATAAATTAGATTTTATGACAACTGAGTTATTCTAAAAGTCAATTTTTCACACTTATAATTATTTCGTTTCTTTTACATCATTGCCTTACATAATACATCATCTCTTCATTTTTAGGTTTTTAGCCATGACTTCAATATTTTCGATTGATTTTGAAGAATGTCTTAAAGACAGTCCCTATTTTCGGTAAGTACACTTTCGAAATTGCTCTTAAACTTGAGTAA